TCCGCTGCTGGGGACGTTGAGGATTGCTCGGGTGCCCGTTTGGCATCGGGGCATCCGCGCGGAAAGTTTGGAGCTCGGGTTGCAGGAGGGGGAGCTGCTGGGAGCGGGCCGGGACACAACCAGGCCCTCCGGTGGTCCCCGCACCAGCAGCAGGTCGCACCACCTCCGGTGGTCCCCGCACCAGCAGCATCTTGCCTCTCGGCCGGTCAGTTAGTCAGTGTTTCTCAGGTACCCAAGAAATAATCCAGAGTGTATTCCTTTATCTTTGCTAGGCACTGCACCAGTTGCTGGAATAATAGGCTACTCTCTTTGGATTAGTAGTAGTGAAAGCTGGATAGCAACTTCCTTTGCATGTACTCCTTGTTTAAGTAATAACTTCAAGAACTCTGAGATGGGCATGAAGTCATTGCAGTTCTCTGTATGAATGTCTGCTGTCTGTGAGCTTCTCAAGAGGTGTAGCTTATGGTATACTGCATTAAAAACTCAGGTGCTGTATTTCAGCCAGGTGATTTTTTATTTTAACACTCATGTATTTTAAAGATTTGTTGTTGTTGTTGGCCCCCCTTCATCATGAAAGATGAGTGACAACAATGAAAATGATGCAGTGCAAAATGGTGCCAAATGCTCACAGTAAACAAATGAGAAATAAGATCTACCCTTTTCTAAGTAGTGAAGACTTGTATGTTTCTTGGAACAAGAGCTGGTGGAACATCCAGTGTTATTGAAAAATAAGCAGTGTATCTTTAAGTATAAATGCTGGCAGCATGTCTGGTTAGTTTCTGTTGTAACTTCAGTTCCAGATGTTTACAGTTTTCAAGAACTAATTGAATTTTGTATATTTATATTTTTTTCTAACTGATCTCTGAAGATTTAAGACAATGGATGTAGAACATTTGAACAGAATTCCTCTACAAATTCCATGTTATGGGAGGGGAGTAAGAATCTAGCTGTGCTTTTATACACATAAGGCTTTTTTTTTTTAATTCTATTTTTTTCTTAGCAGAGCTTAAGTTTGGGGATAGATGGTTTCTCACTGAGGAGCCAACCTTTTCCCCCTTTTCCCCTTCAGGTTCTGGGAAAAAAAGAAAATTTTATGAAAAAAATATATGGCTCTGAACATTTGTTGTGGCAACTAAGGCTCCGGTACTTCATGGAGTTCAGGGTAGGCAAATTTCTGCTGTGCAAGGATCCCTTCTAACATCTGTGTGCTGTATTTACCCACATGGAGCTTCTTGCAGGATCCATGCTGTGTCTTGAGCAGACCTTAAGAACAACTTTAAATTGATAGTATCAGATGGTTTGTCCGTTTCTGTTTGATTGTCATGCTAGTTAGCTGCAATGTGGGAGATCGTTTTAACTAGGATATGAGATAATTTTCCCTCAACTTACTTCCTACATGGAAGCACTATGATGGAGCACTTCATTTAATTATCCTGCTGCAAAGAGATGTCAAGCTTTGACATGGTATTGTTCCTGGGACAACTTGCTTGAAAAATCATGTCAGCATTGATTGAAACTCATGAGCACATGTTCCACAAAGTGGTATCTATCCCTCTTCTGAAGCTGTGTGATCTCAGTGCTCTGAGGAAAAAATGATAATTTTTTTCTCTTTTTAAAGCCAGAAAAAAGAGGTGGGGGTGTGAAATATCAACATATGAAAAAACCTTAGTTTGTCATCTTCCAGCTGACAAAACCATGCACTATCATTTGTAGGGCCTTTATGAACAGTACGGGTGGTCTAGCATCCTTACCAGTGGAACACAAATAACAAAGATTTGTGCTGTTGCCACCTTCAGGGCATAAGCCAAGCCCTTTTTGTGTGTTTTCCTATTTGATGAATGAGCCTATTTAGTTCGTTTTTGAACAGAGCTTTCCTGACCAGTCTTTTTCACAAGAGATGGAGGGGATCTGTTCTGACCAGAGTTCCCTGTGCTCCATGAACTTGTGTTTGCTCTAGTCTTAGAGGTTTCTCCTGTGTAAAGGAGTTCAGGCAGTCCAGCAAAAATCCCTAAAATAGAAAAACTGAGTCCTGGAAGAACCGCTATTTTAGCCAGACTAACTGACCCACTGCCTTTCTGCCCAGTGTGCATATGCATGTACATATATGCTCTAATCTTCTAAAAGATTAGAAAAAGTATATAATCCTATGTATTACATAGTTTTCTGTATAGCTTCACATATATTTATATAATTTTCTGTTTAGCTTTGTCCCATCCCCCCTGGCTATTCAGTTAACATGCCATAATTTTGCAACTAGCCATGTGCTTTGTTGCAACTTTAACTGTTGCATTTCTTGGCTTATTTTTACCTTACGCTTTGTATAGGTGGTTTGGTTGGGTGGGTTTTTTTGTATTTAACACACACCATTTTAGTGTCTCATCAACAGAGTACTCTCTGAGGGTACGGTAGGAATTGGGTTTAGATGACTTCAGATGCAAATTTGATTAGACTCAGTGTACGATCAGATCTTTCTGAGGATCATTTACCTTACTCCAGTGTGACCATCAATGTATCATTCATCCAAAAGAGCAGAAAGGATCTCTTCTGGAGTGTTGAGTAAAGGCTTGTTTGTCTGCTGCTGCAGTTTTGCTCATGACAAGTTGCTGTCACTTGTTGAGTTAGGATATTACTTTGGTCCTAAGTCGACTGCTATCAATTTCTTTCTAATGACTGGTTGAATGCTTGTGAAAAAATGAGTTTATACAGTTTGTGCTTGGTGGCCTCCAAAGGCAAAGTGTATTAAGAGAATTCATCATTTTTATAGGAGTGTATAAAGTATTTTATTTTAATATCCCTGAAAAAAGCATATAAATATATACAAATGTAAACCTTTAATATAGTGGAACCCTTGGAGGTGCAGGCATCTGCCATTGCTGATCTCACTGCAGCAGTGTGTCTGAAATGTAGGACCAAACCATTTTGCCACAGCCCTGTTGTAGGGGAATAATGCAGAATTGTATTGCCCCAAGGAAATCATTGCAAGGTACGATTTGGTTTCCTTTGTGCATGCAGCCAGACAGGTGTGTGTGTTGTGGGGGAAGGATTGAGAGATAGATATGTGAATGATATCAATGGTCCTGTGGAAGAAGCAGCTAATATTTTTGAGTGTATGGTTTGAGTTTGCTGATGCTATAGGGATACTCTGATGATGGAATTGTGAAAAAGTCCTTATTTTCACATTTCCACAATTTACTCATTAATTCCCAGTAGCCTGTAATCACAGAAGCCACGTTTGTATGACATCATACCTCACTCTCCACTCACTGGCTTGTTTTTATTAAAAACTAGATAGCATGCTTTCTGTAACCTAATAGAAACCCCATGCTTTTTATTAGAGACTTTAATGATTAGATTTTCTCCAGGTATTTTTCTAAGTATTCTCATTTATTTTAATGTAATGTATGTGTATCATTATCTCTTTGATGGTAGTTCACTTTGTTCTCTATGTCTGTATTTTTTAGGACCCTTGAAACCAGAAATTACCATAACTTACATTGCTGTTTCAGCTATATTCTTTAACAGCGGACTCTCCTTAAAAACTGAGGTACTGTAATTTCACATTGCTTCATTCTTGTTTTGCTCTAAAAAGATTTGTGTTGCTTTTGATCAGGTTTGAATGTAATTGGAATTTTTAATTACTGTGCTGTTGTTGATGATGCTGGAAAAATGGCTAACAAGAGAAGATAAATACTAGACGTTTATGGACCCCTCTTTAATTTCAGAAAGTTCTTCACAAAGCAATGAATGTGATGAGAAGGAAAACGTGAATAAATTTCACCCATCCATAGAGAGGGAGGGTTGATTGACTTTGCAGGGCTTTGGCTAAATGAAAGTGTTGAGCACAATCCTGAGACTGGGTCTACACCCTGGATATGTCCCAATCCCAAATCATGGTGAGACCCAGGAGAACACCAGCCACCTGCCTTCTGCCACTCCTTCTGCTCTTTGGCTTCCCACTGCTCAGGTGAGTTACAGGCCAGAAAACTGGGGTAGAAACCAGAGTAGGGTAGAACTAGAGTAGAACTTTGTAGAGAACTACGCAGAGAGGGGCTATGTGGGGCCTCCATGCCTCTGTAGGACACAAACAGAAGGTGTGAGCTCTTTGTGCCTCTCTCCTTCATCTCACCTGCTGGTCTGCTCTCTAAATAAAACTGTTTAGGCTAGTCACTGCAGGATGTGTAACAAGCAAAGATCTGGTGGCAGGACAGCAGCTAGTATCAGCACAAAAGGGTTCCTCTGCAGATGCAAGGCCAATACAGGTAGAAAGTCTTGGCAATCTTTTCCTATAGGATTTAGTTGTAGACTGGTGGACTTGAAGTGCCTATACTCAGCTGCATATTGCAAACAGTGAGACTTGTTTCAAATTTTGTCACACGTTTTTTTGAAAGAGGAACAATTAGGGAGTAAGAAGAGATGAAGGGGAGAACTTCTTAGTGATGTGTAAAGGAGGCGTGGAGGAAAGAAATGATGGCTACATGCCAAGAAGAGACAGAGCAGCCAGAGTTTGAGTGAAACACTGCATGTCATTGCTAGTCTAGTTTCTTGATTCCTTTTATGCTGTTGGCTGTCCTAATGGGTGATGTCATTCATATGTTGCATGATACTGATGCCTAAAGGAATCATGATGATATAGTCCAATTATCTTCTGGGAAAACTGGGAACAGCTGGAACTGTATGAATGGTATGCATTCAATAACAGCAACAAAAAGTGTCTATACCTGTATCATGGTTATAGAGGTAAAGTTTTCAAAGGAGGTGGTGGTTGAATTCACAGCAGCCCTCTCCCTGTGTCTGCTGGCAGCTTTGGCCTCTAGTTCTGCTGGGACAGAGTGTAAGTGAAGTGAGTAACTTTCGTCAATTCTGTAGCAGCTATTTAGAGCCTTGTGGCCGTATGGGTAAGTAGGTAGAGCCATGTTATCTGTTTGTCCGGGACAGTAATTAATCCTAATGGAAACAGGCTGCAGAGAGGCACTTCTACAGAGATGAGGACCTGAAACACAAAGCCTGAGTAGTACTAATGGAATGGGGTCTTTTGCTTTCAGTGTTAGGAATCTTTGCGTGCAGAGAAAAAATGTCAAACTTCTTTCCATTTCACTTATTTGTATCCTTGAAGCTTTGTATTTGTAAAGAGTGAGAGTGAAATCTGTAGCATTATCAATGCTAGCATCCATTTGACCTCTTCCAGTTAAGGTGATATGACATGTAGGTTCTTCGGCAATGTGTCATGTCTGACTTTGAATTTTCGTAACTTTTTTTCACCTGTGGTTCTAAAAGCAATATATTGGTGTAAGTGAAGCTTTTACAGGAGCCGATGTTTGTTTCCAGGTAGCTGACCTCAGATTGTTTTGGAAGCATTAGTTAGGACTGATGCTGTACATCCAGCTTTATGCTCCATCAAGAAGTTTAGCCTTTTCTGAATTTTTCCCATGGAGGTAGACGATAAAGAGGAAGAAAAACATTTCAGTCATTGTACCTTGTGCTATTGCTTTCTAAAATACATGTCAAAAACTATACTTAAATGTGCTAGGAGGCCAGCCCATGACTTTATTAATATATTATGAGGCATGTTCTAATTGTTTAAGCACAACCTGAAGTTGGTATTATGTATAGGTTTTAATATATCTTTTTATTGGATTGTGAAGTAAACAGCTTCTGCTTTTGTCTTTGTTAGTTCTTGACCTGTGTGTTGGCTGTTTACCTTGGATAATATGTTAGATTAAAACTAGTGTTTGGTATGCTTTATGAAATTATAAAAAACTGTGTGTTAACAGAGGCCTTCTGATAAATACAACAAAACTAGAAATAGCTGACTCTCTTTTAAGGTTGCGCTTGAGCTATGACAGGAGGTAAAATCTAATGTTCAAAAAAATTTGCTAAGATGCATTCAGAAAGCATTTTACAAAATAATGGGCAGTGTTCAGAGAGAGCCTGTCTGTGCATGGGCTTGTTAAATTTTCAAATCTAGAGGTGACTGAGGTCCTGTTATACCTGTGGAAAGAGTCTGAGTCCAGAAATGACAAGAACATTTGATTTCACTTTAATATAATGCTCTTTTAGTTTTCAGTGACTGGATAGCCTGTTTTTTTAGAGCAAATACCTCCTGTGGGCCCCCAGAAATTAAATCACAGGCTAGAGTTATCCATTTCCATGAGGAGCTTGGCAAGCCACTGAAAACACTGTTTGCTCTGTGTATGTGTTTTGCCCGAGGAGTCCAGCTATGACCATCTAAGCGTGGCTGGATGGCAATGAGACTCATACAGACCAGCGAGAAGGTAGGGTAAGGTCTCTAAAGGGTTTGAAATACTGGGAAAGACAAGGTAACCTGTCCTACCTGGTGTGTAGAAAGAGAGTCATAACTAGAAGCTTCCAGTAACTTTTCTGAGACATCTGCAGTAACAAGTATATACTGGGACAAGCCCTTGTAGATAAGAGGGTGAAGGCTGTTTGCCTTGGTGTTTGTTTAATGATGATATTGTCTAAGGAATAATTATTCTAACATGCAGTCACTGGAGACATGCTAAAGACTGGTAATTTATATCTGCAAAGACCTGCTCCACTAATACAGCATTCTGTGTTGTAATTGCCTTCCTTGCTCCCTGGAAGCTCTAACCAGTCTTTTCCAAGTTTTTGTCTTGGATTTTGGTTTTGAAAGTATCACAGAATTTTCTTCAAATCATCTATTTTTAAGGCATTTTCCAATTGTAAAAAATATTAAATTAAAAGGGCACTTCTGTATGTGTGATGGTGCTAGATTGGGGGTGACTTTGTAGATGGGGCCACTAAGACATCCGGGGCTGGAGATGACTTGGCAGGGAAGAAGGAGGAATTAGCAGCTTTGCTGAAAGAAGTCACTTGCTTTGTTTTTTCTCAATTCCATTATTGACTTTTAAACCATACACTTTTATATATAGGTATTTCCAGGTGTCTTTTCTTCCCACACAGGATGTGTTTCTGCTACTAGATGTTTAATTTTTGCTTTCTTTTTGAGATAAGATGAAACAGTACTACAGTGAATCTGTTCATAATGCCATAGGTATTGTGACAGGTTATGTGTGAGGAAGGCCTATTTTCTTCATGTAGAGTGATACTAGCCTGCTCAAGAGCTTTGTTTAAAAAAAATTGTTGCTTCATTCAGTTAACCAAGTGCTGAATGTAACAATACTTTCTCAGTGAAACGTGATCAAGATGTAAATTTCAAGTCTGTTTTTTGTGTAACTTGAAGAATAGGAATGAAAGGGTGTGTAATTTTTTTTTTTTTTGTGAAAGGTTTTTTCCCCTAACCCAAATTTAGGAGATAATTTTATTAAGAGTAATAAAGTAACAAGGACATGATGCTGAATTGCTAGTACTTCCAGATGTATAATTACATCAGTGTGCATTTAGATGGTTGAAAATGCAGTATTTGATTGTGTTTCATGAAAGTTTTTCTCTCTTAAAGCTGAAAGAGGGTGGCACTTGAAGATCGGCTGCTGTATTACTATACATGGAAACACAGTTTTTTATAGTCCTTTTTTTTAAATGCCTTTGGGGTGTCAGCTGGAGGATCCTAGGAAATTAGGTTTTGAATAAAAGTGCCATCAATTCTTTTCCTATTGCATTGTTTACTTGCAAAGAGTGCAAGTTATTTTGAGAGAGAGGAAAAGGATTTTTTCTTCTCTTATGAGCGTTGAAATGAGCTAAATGTACAAAGCTTTTTCACTTGTCCTCAGAACTGTATAGAAGATCCTTGGAGTGCACAAAGACAAAAGCAGAGACACAGAGCTAACTGAACACTTTATTGCTAAGGATACCGATCACCACACTGGAGTGTACTTAGACCATTTAAAATTAAAATTTTCCTTGTTTTCTTAGTCTCCAGCAGTGTTTTGTGTTTTATTTCTGTGAATTTTATGGCTTAGCTTTTGTTAGCTTGTTATGCTCTTGTTATTCTTTCTTTGCTATTCATCATTCGCCTATTTTTTTTCTTGTATTTTCTATTTGTTGATACAATAAATAATCAGAATCTGCTACAGATTGCTTTGGTTTTTATATTCGTTAGTCTTTCCTTAAAAGAAAACCTGCCACAAATGATGATTGTAATGTATAAATGAGAATCACAGTTTGTTGCTCTCTTTTGAAATCATGTGAACACTACAAATTTCCCTTCCTCTTGACATCAGCAGTGAATAAAGTAAACAGGCCATCAGTATAGTTAACACAGGTTTTGAAGCAGTGGCAAAGTACTAAGGCTGCCTGCTGGAAAGCTACTGTTAGGAGAGCTACACTGTTGTTGAAGTGGTGGACAATTCTTTAGGAAAAATGCCCAGGAGCAGCCAGAGCTTTTATGTTGTCCTGATGTACTTCATTATTAAAGAAGGGATCAGATGATCCCTAAAGGTGCCCTTTTGACATGCACTCTCTTTGTATTATAAAGATGATCCTAGTTTTAAAAGCACAAACAAGATCCTACCTCAGCTGTTATGACTGCAACTTCCTCTCTTCTTTTTCTCTTGCAGGAGCTGACAAGTGCTTTGATGCATGTGAAACTACACCTTTTTGTCCAGATTTTTACACTTGTGTTCTTCCCAACAGCAATATGGCTCTTTCTTCAGCTATTATCAATCACACCTGTAAATGAATGGCTTTTAAAAGGGTATGTTTAAGCATAATGGAGTGAAATATATTTGTATCTGTCTTCTTACAGGGCTGCTTATCCTGCAGTAGGTGCTTTAAGACTTGTATTGTGGACAGATTTTGCTGGTTGATTCTGTGCTTCAGCACTTTGCTGTCAAAAACACAGTATATGCACAAGATTATCCTTTAAGGAACCTGGTCGCATTTTTAGAAAGTCTGGTCAGTTAGTTTCATCTGTGGGGAGCTTTCAACAGTTTAGCTTTCTCTTTCACGAAACACAGTTGTAGAGCTGTGCTGCATCTCATTTCCCCTATGGAGGAAGGAAAAGGAATGCTGAAGGAAAAAAAAGTAAGTCGGTGAAGAAATACTGCGTATGCCACGTACTGATGTTCCGTTCTGTTTTTAGTCTTTATTGAGCATCTCTTGCATGTGTCCAGGTTGGGATTCAGTATCTGTTCCTAGCTAAATTATGAGGGATGTTGGGAAAGAGAGAGTGAAGTTTCTGTAGGAGGAGAACTTTGATGGGAGCAGAAGCTGTTACCATGAAAATAACGTGGTTTTAATCTTTGGTGTACTCTGCCAAAGCTGCATTGATGGTGCAGTAGTGATAGATGCTATGAAAAATAGCACCATGCAGTTATACTGGAATGTCTGAATGCAAAAGTCAGTTATTCTAGAAAACTACTTAAAGAATCTCCATTGTTTCTTACTGCTTGGTGAAACATTGTTGGGGGAGCCTTCCCTGTCTTACAAGTTCAGTGATTAAGCTGCTTATGTTTTGCAAGGCCTAAACCTAAAAGAACATTTTGTTTTGCTTTTAAGAGGCTTCTCCAGGTGTTCCAACAAGTGTGAAGTGATCCAAATGACACTGGGAAGGCGAAATTGAGATCATAGAATCATTTAAAAGTTAGCATTGTTTTTGTAACAGTATTAGTATGTCAAGGAGGTAACAAGGTGGCTACAAATGTCCATTTGCATTTGGCTATATATAGTAAAGGTTATTCATTAAAGTAAAGTTGTTGCGAGGTTTTTCCTAAGCTAGAACAAAGACATGATTTTCCACAGTGAGCCAAAATTCCCTCCTAATCCATGAGATCTCACTTTCTGAAGTGGAAAATGTAAGTTTGTTTGTTTGGTTTTTGTTCCTTGCAGCACTTCTCATCCCTTCTTTCCCATGACTCTTACACCACTTTGGTTCTTAGGTTCTTACTATTTAAGGGATAATCATAGAATGGTTTGGGTTGGAAAGGACCTTAAGATCATCTAGTTCCAACCCCCCTGCCATGAGCAGGGACACCTCGCACTAAACCACGTTGCCCAAGGCTCTGTCCAACCTGGCCTTGAACACTTCCAGGCATGGAGCATTTACAACTTCCTTGATCAATCCATTCCAGTGCCTCACCACCCTCACTGTGAAGAGCTTCTTCCTTATATCTAACCTAAAGTTCCCCTGTTTAAACCCATTCCCCCTTGTCCTACCACTACAGTCCCTAATGAAGAATCCCTCCCCAGCATCCTTATAGGCCCCCTTCAGATACCGGAAGGCTGCTATGAGGTCTCCACGCAGCCTTCTCTTCTCCAGGCTGAACAGCCCCAACTTTCTCAGCCTGTCTTCATACAGGAGGTGCTTGAGCCCCCTCTGGGCTCCTTGTGGCCCTCCTCTGGACTTGCTCCAGCAGCTCCATGTCCTCTTTATGTTGAGGACACCAGAACTGTACACAATACTCCAAGTGAGGTCTCAATAATGTGACATGGATGAGTATACGTGAATGTGTATACATGCACACCTGTGAAACTGCGTGTAAAACTACATGTGTATGTATCTTTTTAAAAAAGAAACACTTGTTTGTGTATCTTCTTAAATGTGGAGCCTAAAACCAGCCTCATTTTTCATGAAAATGTGTCTGTATTTTACCAGTGAGCTAGTATACTTCTACATGTTTCAGTTTTACAGGCACTTGTTCCTTGAGTACTGTTTCTGTTTTGGCTGTGTTTTGTCTTTCAGTGCAGTAATTCTGTTGTATTGAGATCTCATTTAAAGAATGGTCAGATTGAGGACTTTAATAAAGGTGGGGCTTTTCTGTTGTGTGTGTGGTTTTTTGGTTTTGTTTTTTTTTTTTGGGTTTTTTTTTTTTTTTCCTGTTTTGTAGGGAGGTTTTAAGTACTTTTTTTGATAAATACTGCTGTTCAGGACACGCTCAGAGCAGCACCCATTGTGTGGCTCTGAAGACATCCACTGCAAAGGGAGCCTGGTGGGAGCTGTACCTTCAGTGCTCCGCAGGTGCAGAAGATACTAAAGTCTGTCCTCATTCTAGGATAACACATTTTAAAGTAGGACCCATATGTCTCTATATGGGTGCGTGAAAGGAGAGCGAAGAGCAGATGCAAGGAACTGCCTGTGCCTTGGCCGCTCTAGTAGTTCATCCTAATGCCCCACAGCTGTAGCTCTTATTCCCTAGAAACACTTAAGTACCTTAATGAAAAATAGGGGAACAAGACCGGCTTTGGCAAAGTCGCTTTCTCTGCACGCATGTTTAGCATGGATTGCAGTGGGAGCTAGCTAATAGTCCTCACAAAGGCCTGGAAAAAAGGCATATGCTCCCAAGGGCATCCAGCCTAAGCATCTTCTAAGTTAATTTTTTGTTAGCTAACTAGGTTTTGCATTGACAAAAGGTGCATGAAGCAAGTTATTAACGTTTGCACAGATTCCCCTCTTCTGCCGTTCCTAACATATAGCATTTACAGCACAGGTGGTAAGACACAAGATGCAAACATTGGTACATGATATGGGCTTGGTAGTTCCATACCTAAAATATGGGACTGTGGACCCTACTACTCAGTTGTCTGTAATGTTTCAGCAGAACAGGTATTTACTGCTCTTCAGCAAGTGTTTGAACTCCTGATGTTAATAGGAGTTATACCATGCCTGAACCAGTGAAATGTTTCAGTTTGGTTATCTGTAGTAATCTGTTGGCCATTAGAGGAATTTGTTTCTATATTGGTAGAATTGTGTGTAGTTGGTACAAAGCAAGGAAAAGGTTCACAGGTGCATGTTTTGATACACCTGATTAAAAGTATTTTCATTTAGTGTGTACCAGGGTTTTTTTGTAGATTAATATTTTCATATGAAGAATACTAAAAACTGTAGTTTGATAGTGATTTTAATTTTTTTTTTAAAATTCCGAATATATTGTTTTAAAGTTGTGAGGGTTCACAGAGATTGTATTATTAAATCTTTCCCTTATAGTGTGGAAAATCCCTGTCAGCTGAGATGAATGCCCTTGCACTCATGTCATACCTCTCTGGATAACTTTGAACTTAATCTACCCCTTATTAGTTCAGGTGAGAAGTTCTAGGAGCTGCCTGCCAAGAGACCACATAGAATCACAGCCGATGTAGGTGATGGACATCAGACTCACCTTGTGTTTGTCTACTGTATATTTTCATATATATTTGTAAACTTTTTCATACTGTTTCTTTTTCCTGTATTTCTTTTCAATATAAACTTGTCCTGCTAAGTGCTGACAACTCGCTGCTTCCATAGCTTATTCACTGTAAGCTAAAGGTAGTATGTACTTCCAAGGTGGTGCTTGGCACGTTGTAATTGGATTTATATAATGCTTACATCAGTTGCCTCTTTCCTTTTCCACAGTGTCTGTAGCTGACAAACTGAATACCGTCATTGTCATTTACCTGTTTCTTCTGTTCAAGCTTTTTATATATTTGCAGCCTATCAATTGCACTGTAATATGCTCCCTGTTGTTTGGATTTAACACTTCTGTTTGCTACAGCTTTTTGACACTGCTTTTCTCGGGGATGGACTAACACAGTTACAAGTGCAAATTAGTTCACCACTAGTAACTGATTGTTCCAAACTAGAATACTGTCTTAAACTCCAATACTTGAAAACATAGATTCCGTGCTTTTGAGGGGTTTGTAGACTGTTTTATTCCATGCCTTACTGTTCCTTCTAAGTCAAAACACTTTTTCTTCACAAACCCTATATTACTCAGCCCTAAATTTAATTGTAATCTGTTGTGGTATGTTCTTGTTTCTAAGTACACGTTTGATACATCTAATTCTTGTAATAGCTAGTTTTTGCAGACTGTCTTTGAAAACAAAGGAAAGCTCACCACTTTTTTTTCTTATGTTGCAACAGCATTTACTATATACATCGATAATTTTGCTGCACAAACAATGGGAAAAATGATAGATAATAATAGTGTATATTAGACTTCTAAAATGCAGGAGAAAGCTTTTGATGTTTTGGTTAGTCAAAGTCAGGTGATTTTACTAGGAAATGAAAACATGCATAGAAATTAAACATTTGAAGGCCTTCTAATGTTCAGGAAATTAAAAGCTTAATTGCAAATTTTTTTATTATTTTTTTTTTTGCTGTTTCAAGAAAATAGGAACTTAAGTCCTTTTATTTTTTTTTTTTTTTTTTTTCCCCCGAATGGTTTCGGGTATCTCAAAACACACTGCAAACTTTAGTACATCAGGACATGTGGTACAGTTATCTTTGTGACAGATGTGTAGGTATCTTTGGGAGTGGTAGATTCAGTACTACAGATGGGGAAATGGAGTCGCAGAGAAGTGTGTTTTTAAATGGTGACATGATTCTTCACTGTGATGGTTGGTAAGAGGTGGCATAGAAATCCTGCCAGCTGGTACAGAGCTGTAACTGTAACACAAACTGATTGGGTTGCACAGGTGATAAAATTATTATTTTCTACTTGACTACTTCATATTTTAAGGTTTAAGGTTGCATAGTGTTTGCATTGTGTGAGGAATGTAACATTTGTTTTTGTTGTTTTCAGCTTGCAGACAGTAGGCTGCATGCCTCCTCCTGTGTCTTCTGCAGTAATTTTAACCAAAGCTGTTGGTGGAAATGAGGTGAGTATTCATTTTGCTTTCGAATGTGGGGTTTTTTTTTTTTCTTTTTTTTAACAGAAGTTCAAATAAATACTTGTTTGTGATGAGCTCATGGCAAAACACTGACCGCAATGTGATATGATACTATTGTGCTGTGTAAAAGTTCTATAATTAATGGTTGGGTATTGTGCTGGTGTCAAACAAGGGAAATAGTAATATGCTGTCTGCTGGCATTGGTCAAACTGAAAGAAACTCTGTTTCCTGAGGTGATAGAAAGCACTCTGATAGAAATTGGTGTTAGGAGATTTCTGTTTGTTGCTGCACTGTAATTCCTAATCCTGTAATGTTTGTAAGCTGTGTTCAGGTTACCTCATAAACCAACAGCTTTGTGGTGAAGATCTGCCTTTGCAGTGATTGTTTGGAAGGTGCTTAGTATTGAGATGTCCTATAGTAGGAGTTCCTCAAGTTTGAAAATGGAGCAAGTGAGATGATGGAGACAAAACATTAATTTAAATATTTTATTGTTATTTGAGACTGCATGAAATGAAAATTCTGGGAATGGGAGTTCTCTGACAGTGATGCAATGCAAAGTTCTCAACAGATAGGAAATGCCAGAATTGAAGTTGTTTGTGCAAACTCAATTTAGTCATACCATATTTCTGCTGTAAAATGGCATATGCTGATGTCACTTCAGACTCTTTATCCACAAAACACTTGCTAATTTCAGGAAAAGCAGGTAGATGGCATTCAGGAAATTAATCCAGGTGTGCTAATTAATTAGGCTGTTTCCTTTATATCTGCTTTCTCAGAATTGATGGAGGTGGATGAGACCTGGTAGGTGAGGAAGGGAGAGAATAACACTAAAAGAGATTGGGTTTAAAGCTAAGGCTGTTTGAATGTTGTTCTGGAGGGCTAGAGCCAAATCTGAATTCAGCCATAGAGCTCCTGTGTGAGGTTGGGTGAGACACTTCAACTACATTTTTTAAATATGGCCATTAGTTGTATACTTCTCATTTTATGAGTTCAGACTCTTGGGACCGATTAATGTCAGCTTTGAAAACACATGATAGCAGTGAAATAGATTGAAGTTGTACTTTGTACTGACAAAGTGCTGTTTAATTGCTCTATCCTCTGAAGAGAGACCCAAAGCATCTCAAGTCAAGCATCTCTAATTACAGGCAATCCTGATGCACATTGCTGTCTCCTGGTTTGCTACCTGAAAACAAGAGTCATAAAATTGTCTGATGGAGGTGCTGTGGAGTATTTAGTATAAGGAAATAATTCAGGTACATAATAGTGATCAACAGAAAAATGGGAAGTTTTGTAGTTATGATTCTAAATGTAGGTGCTGTAAATTATGCAGAGACGCCACACAGTGAACAGTGAGGATAAAATGGAGTATTGAATGAGTGCTCATTCAGTGTTAGCACTGTCTATCTTATATTAAAACAAGGAAAAGATCCTCTGGAAAAAAGTAAGGTGTGACTGGTTAGTTGAAGGCAATATCATACAGCCTTTGTGTGCAGGAGAGAGGTACTTCATTTTCTTGGCCATTAGAGTTCACTTTTTTTTTAATGGTAGTATTCTTGTGGGGTGGTGAGGGTGCGTATATGTTATATCACCTGAAAAACAGAAACTTTCTATCAAGTGAGGCTTGTGTAAGTAATTGCATAAAACACTGACAAAGTAAGCTTGAACCTCTGATTTTTCTGTACCAAACTGACGTTGGAGGAATATAAAAATGCGTATCTTGTTAGTGATTTTTAAAGATACCTGCTGACAGTAGAGAGAGTGAATCAAGAATTGAGAGTCCTCAGTCAGGCTCTAGGAAGATACGCAAGAGAAACACCCTTTAAACACACTCAGTGTAGGCAAAGTGTGTGGCAAATTTATTGCCAAACTTGAGCAAGCTTCCAAAATAAACATATTTTTGCAATTTGATGCTTCTCTGTCATTCACACTATTGTTAATTTTTCTTCTGAAGTATAGCAAATCACATCCCTCATGCTAGGGAAGAGGACCCTCTCACATCTGTCCTTGCCAAATTTCACCTAAGCTGTTGTTGATACATTTTTTCTTACTGGCATGACCAGAACAATGCATTTTTCCCATTTTAATTTAAATCCATTCTGATCTATGAAGAATTTAAACCTGGGAGTCAACTGGAAATACAAGCGATTGTATTGTGAGAGCATTTGTTCATAATAATGTCTCTTAAACTGCGTTTGCCTCATCAAGCATGTATTCCTTACCTAGAGAAATTGATTTGTCTGAGGGTGTATCTATGCTGCATAATGTACTATGAAGATAAATGAGCTTGCTCAGGAGCAATATAGTGAGGAAGCTCCACATGAACTAATTAATGAGAAATGTCCCGCTGCTCTAGAGTACAGGCATACCCTCAGTAAGTGCTCTGAAGACCTCTTTGGATTTCTTGAAGCACAGCACATGAGAGCTGTGGTAGTTGGCTGTGTTATGACCGTAGAGAGGGTTTTAGGTTTTCTTTATCTAAGTAGAAGTAACTGTTGAATGTCAGTTTGAACCTGGGTTATTCTCAAAGAAGTGTCAGGCACTATGGCATGGTAGAAGTAGTGTTCACCTCGGCTGAGGAAACAAGGATTCTATTTTTAGCTCTGTCACTAACCTGTTGGGTAGAACAGTGGGATATTTTGTCTCTGGGGTTAGCAATAATGGATCATGGCAACTTTGTGAAGTGTTTGAAGATTAGTGCTGAAAAACTTTATGTAAGAACTATATTTTATTGTTCTGGGACAGGATGATGAAGTATTTGGTCAAATACTTAGTCTACATTATTAGAAGCTATTTGGATGGGAGATCTTGCTTCATATCAATTGGAAATTTGTTTCAGAGGTAGCAAAAGGAAGACATCTTTGTTGATCTTACAAGGATCTGTATATGTTAACTGATACATGCCTGAAGCACAAAATAAAATGCTCTGCTTTTGTTGGCTAAAGAAGGTGTGGTCATCAAAGATGATACTAAGAATTATGATTAAACTGTGTTAGTCATTTGAAAAGTTAATGTTCTGGAGTTGTAAGTGCAAACCCAGGTGAGATAAAAATCTTATTATTTAACTGTCAGTGTTTAATAGCAACTATACAATCTACCAGTGTTTGTTTTTCTGATGGTTCAAACGTGTGGTATATCAATAAAGTGTATCTAAGCTTTTAAGTCCTCTTGATCTGTGCGTAAGAGTACAGCAGCTGAACAGTTACTCAAAAGTCCAAATGTAAAATTGTCCAGAGCAAAAATCTGTCTTCCTTCTTCCTATACATTGTTTGATCACCAACCCTGTGATCTATATTGCTTTCAAATTTCTAGTTGTAGCTTCTGTTAGGTGCGCCTTCCAAACACTACCACGTTAGTCATTGGTACTACTTTGCAGTATGCCTGGTAGATGAGCAGGTGGGGGCTGGTTTTGATGCTTGGGACATTCCAGAGGAAATAAATCTTTATCAAAATCCCTTCAGCAATAGCCTTCCATTAATAAGGGAAGACAATTGAGCCAAATAGCACCTTTGCTTGCTGTATCCACAGCATTATGTTGGATAGAAGCATTATACTTCTATATAGGTATATAATACCTTTTGGTTTCCAAGTCTTTTGCTGTTTGAGGGGGAAAATTTACATCTTCACTTAGCTCTGATGGTTGATGGCTTGTTTTAGGGGACTGGAAAGAGCCTTCTTCACACATCATTATGGGAGGGGGGGACACCTCTGCAGCTTTATAAGAAATAAGTGAAAAACCAGCCAAAGAAATAATTGTCCTGAAAACCAGTAGCAGATTTTTATAGATGTACTGGATTTTTATTTTTTTTTTGGTATAATCAGTGGAGGAGAATGGTGTTGGTATTAGCAAAATGGAAGAACAGAAGATTCTAGCTGCAAAGGGAATAATGGATTTACTAGCTCACTGCCAGTTCTGCTTTTTACATGAGACTTAAGACACTTTTCAAATTTCTTTTCCTTATATATTGCCATTAATGGCAGTGGTAGCAGCAGAGGTGTTTAGCTGTTCATGACAGTATTCCTGTACTGCCTCAGGATAACTTGTGTACCAATAGTGATACAGGTACCATGTTTCGAAAAAGTCTGATAAGCAGCACTGTAGAATATTTACCTGTGGTTGTTGGAAGAAGATACAGTGAAGATGAAAATTTCTTTCCAAAGATTCAGACGAGCTAGGAGCTAGTGTCATTCTGTCCAGAGGGGTTTTGGCAAATGAGATAAGCAGTGGGGAGAAAATCTCTCTGTGCTCTCTGAAAATCTTGGACAGGAAGATGATTTATAGATATTCTGTCTTTTGGTGGAAGTAGCTGTTCTTGGTGAGATGAGCAGAAATACAGCTTGTTTAGTAGGATTGCAAATTCACGCCTCTTCACTCTGTGACCCATCTGTAGCTTTCTTCAACTCCTTTCCCTGGTCTATGTATGATGTGTCTATGTATGATGTGTGCTTTGTTTTCTCACCTTTCTTTCAACTCGTGCTTCTTCTCTCTGTTTCTCCCTCTTCATCCCAGTTTTCCATCATTGTTCTTGTGGTCTCTTCCTATATGATGTTACTTTCATTAACCCTGCAGACAGCTTTCTAAAGTAGCCTATCTCTAGCTTTTGTCACAAATACATTTAGTTCATCAGCAAAGCCAGTTTCAAGTACTGAATTTAATTAGAAGCATGTGAGGCCTTATGTGAACAAAAAAGGTGTTTGTATGTACACTGGCAAAATATAAGGAGGAATCACCATGAGGAATCAAAATCTAATTTGGCGATACTTTCTCAATTAATTAGTTGTTTCTGTCATCAGCAGCATTTACAAAGTCTCTTGATTCGTGAAGATGACAGTCCATGTAGTTAAAAACCACTTGGAATGAAAACCAGGAGGTCTCACTTCTGTTCTTTGCTCTTGTTGAGCGTGAATGGTCAGGATTTTAATGACATTGCAGCGTCTGACAGCACGGAAGGTTTTTGTGCCTTTTTTTTTTTTTTTCCCCCTCAAAAAGT